GACTGTAACTAAAGTATAACAGACTGCAAATGACCACAATCTGTGCTCACTAATGAATTATGAATTAGCTAAATGGGAGAGAGCCTTTATAGGAATGGCCACAGACCATGCTGATGCCAAATGTCAGTACTTTTTCAAAAGCACAGAGAAACAAGAATGCTATAAAGGAAAGATCATCAAAATTTAATACAAAATGATGCATTCTCCCTTCAATCTGGTTCACAGAAACAAAGCTGAGCTGCTTTGAGAAAACATAAACAAAAGCTATAGCACACACACATGAAATGGGGTAACTTAGCATAAAACGGTTTGGCCAAAATGAAAGTAGACACTACCAGTGTTATATGGAAATCCATTGTGACAGACAACCTACTGCAAAAGCCCATCTACAATATCATCCCCCTGTACTTTGAGGCCTCACTTCAAATAGTTTTTTTTGAGCCCCTCACTATAAGAAAGACATGGAGGCCATGGAGCATATCCAGAGAGGGGCAACGAAGCTGTGAAGGACCTGAAGCACAAGTCTTATGGGGAGCAGCTGAGGGAATGGGGATTGTTCAGTCTGGAGGAGAGGAGGCTCAGGGGAAACCTTATTGTTCTCTACACCTGCCTGAAATGAGGTTGTGGTGAGATGGGGGTCAGGCTCTTCTCCCAGGTAACAGAAATAGGATGAGAGGTCATGGCCTCAAGTTGTGCCAGGGGAGATTCAGGTTGGATATTAGGAAGAATTTCTTCCCAGAAAGAACGGTGAGGTATCAGAACAGGCTGCCCAGGGTAGTGGAGTCACTGTCCCTGGAGATGTTTAAGGAAAGGGTAGATATAGTACTTAGGGACATGCTTCAGTGGGCAGCATTGGTGGTAGGTGAAGGGGTGGACTGGATGATCTCAGCAGTCTTTTCCAACCTTAATATTCTATGATTACAATGAAAAACAACGCAACCATCACTTGGATGAAACACGCAGAGTTCACAAGTCAAACCAAAATTGATTTTTTTGGCTTACACATGCATCCCAAAGTGAATGCCATATTATGATTTAGAATATATCAACAGTAATAGCAACTGCTATTGATATGTATATTTTAATTCTAATATTCAATTTTATTCCAATATTTATACGGACTTTGGCTCTATGGCATATCCCATTTTAATTCTGTATTTCTGATGCACACCATAGATTAACTCCACAGTATTATATTAACAGTAGCAACAAGTGGACTAAGTAACATTTTAAAAACTGCTACTGAGTTATGATAAATTACTTTCTTTAGCATGATCTCTTCATCAATTAGTACAACTTGAGATTACTGCAACAGATTTTATCTATATAACACAGGAGAAACAACATCGCAGTAACTAACCACAAACAGTACAAAATTCCCTCTTCCCCACCCCCTACATTAGATTAGGGTTTTGTCCTACCCTTTCACTGTTCAATTACATCTAAAAAGATAACTGACAATTTGTAAACTCACTTGTTTCAAGCACACAGAAATTCTGAATGTTAATAAGAGACATATTTTGAGAAAGCACTAACAATACAGACAAGGATCACACAAAGCCATGCACGGTGTGCAAATGGTAACTCACAGGATGCTGTTTATGAACTGACTGACCAAACCAGACCTTGACATCAACAGCATATGGAGGGGCATCACAGTCCAGACAAATAATTTTTTAGACGAATTTAGAATTTATTTTGTTAAATTATTACTGTTATTATGATTATGCTAACTAAAGATGAAAATCAAGCACAATTTGAAGTATGATTTTCAAGTCTGCAGTTTTGCTAAAGAGAAAGCAGAAATCATAAGTAATGTAGAGTAGCTGCTGATTAAATATGGAATAAAAATCTCCTCATGGAATTCCTCATGGAATAACAATACTCCTCATGTGTGATTAATACAGGGTCTGGCAAGGTGTCATGTTCACCCAGAAATCTTTGGATGGGTCAACAAATCATTCTGTGTAATCACAGGGATAAAACAGTATGCAACCCCACAGCACTTGAGAAGGACAAGAACACTGGAGAGAGTCGATATTTGCACACTGCTGAGTCTCCCTGTGGATTCCCTGTCCCTTATCCATCCCCATATATGAAGAAATCACAACTAACGTTTTCAACAACTTTAGCACTGTAGGTATCAGATGCAAGAATTCTACCTTAAAGCTTTTAAAAACACCATAGCTTAACATCTGAATGTCCTGAGGTAAATTTATGTAAAGTTCTGTTAGGTTTAACCTTTCTATAATGCAGTTTGGAGCACAAATAATTTTCAAGAAAAAGGAAAAAGAAAAAAACTAATTACGTTTACAATCTCCTTCTCTAGCCTTGGGCAATACTATGAGCTTCATCAACATGAGATTCAATCACCCTGTGAAAATGTGTTATATTTGAACTGTGGAAAGACAGTTTGCCAAGCAAAATTGAGCCTCACAATTCTCCATTTGTTCCTCCTATTTAGAAACAATTCTTTTATAATTATGAGCAATATAAAGGCTTTGCCTATTGGAAATCACAGGGACACAAAATATTTGAGCTCTGGTCTATGCACTCCCAAGCAAGAAAATACGTGGAAATATAAATGAAAGAAAGCAATTGAAACTAGTGAGGTGGAGGATGCTAGAAGAGAGGAATATGAGTGCAAGATGTGCTGTAAGTAATCTTTGCTGGTCTTGAAGTACCTCTCTTTTCTGCCATTTTTACCCGATAATGCTTCTGATATAGGGCAAGCACAGCCAACAGGACAATGCTGGAGGAGCTTGGGGGCGGGGAGAGGAAAAGATAATTAGGGAACAGTTGATAAAAGTGTAGACTGATAATTAGACAATTACTCAGATGGATAAAGTTACACAAGATGTTATCACAGTGATCACAAGGTTATCACAGTTGTAGTTTTTTAATCTAATCCTAAAAAAATAAAATCATTAGATGTTGAGAATTAAAAAGTATTCCCAGAGCCTATTTATTTCAGTTAACTTAGTAGAAGGACATGAACATATGGTAGAAATTTGCCCTTGCCTAAAATTACTCTGCTTGTACACAGTACTTTGTAAACATGCAGACAGGGAATGCCACTGCCAGATACAGCAAAGGGAACAGAAGGATAAGAATGGGGCTGAAGGAGGGAAGGGCTTCCGACCATCCCTTTCACACATGCTGATGGAATATAATTTGCTGGAACAGTAAAAATTCATAGCACTTTAAGGTCCAGAAGGACTTAGCCACAGCTGTACGTGCATGTCTCCGCATTAGTAATACATAAAAAAACCCGAGAACAGGCACTGAGAAGTGCAAAGTCTGACGCAGACAGATAACCTGATACTGAGAAGCAGATGTGGGGTGAGAAAGAAAAGACAGATCCATCAGCATGGGGAGGCATAACACAGAGTCAGCACCATACTGCACTGCACTGATGTCACTGACATGTCACAAGAAGCAAGCAAGCTACTATGGGATTCAAGAGATCTTCCCCACAGATCCTCCTCCCCACCCCCTTAAAAAAAGAAACACAGCAGAGAGTAAAGAAAACTAAATGCATGAGATCTCAGAATGAGAGATGTTGCTTGCAAGTTAGAATGAGAGGCCTTCCACAAACAAAATTAGAGACAAAGCTAGAACAACCAAACACAGAAATATGATTAGAGGGAGACAATTCTGACCAAGCCTGTGTATTTTATTATTTCTTTATTCATCTGCATCCTTTGCCCTCCACTATCAGGAGTATAATGGGCAGTATGCTCTACCCACAATCAACGCATCTACTTTGCCTTCCAGCTCAGGAAGGACTACAAGTTTTCAAAGACTGGAAATTCCTCCAGTTTCAGTTCTAGAAATAAAAATACCACACCAGCAGAGTCCCTGGAGGTCACCTCTTAATCTAACTCAAAGAGAATGGATAACTCAACCCAAAGTATTAAAAAATGTCTGCAGAGCATTTTTGTGGCCAAAATAAGGCTAGCTATAAGTTAAAAACATTGTAAGATATTAAGCCACTTGGGAATTATTTTCTAGACTAGAAAAAGGTGTCAAATTGCAGAAACAGTAACAGGAATTTATTGCTTACCACCAGAAACCAAAATTCTGATTTTCAACAGAAAAATCAGGCACTTCCAAACTGTAAGATAAGTGCAGGGAATTTAGTGCTGTTACCCATTTCTGAGAAGCCACACTTCAGATGGCAAAGTAGAACAAATAAGATGTTCTAATGTTTAATAAAGTATTTATTAAAGCCAAGATTTTGATTCTTGTAAACTCAGGGAACTGAATGTCTCATTGAAGCATTACTAGCTATACAAAAACAGATCAACGTCCTTGAACCGAAAAAGGCAGAAGCAAGCCAAGGGCTGTACACAAACAGAGGCCACTCATTCAGACATCATCATTGTAAGCACGTGTAGAAACTCCCGAAAGAACCAATCCTTGAAGGATTCTTTTCTCTGCCACACAACTGGAAAAGCATGGGGCAATTCTGTACTGATGTCATCTGTTTTCACAGTCTGTATTTTTCCTCAGTTTTCCTCCTGTAACCTGTTGAAGTTGTTCTAAGCACTGAAAGTCAAGATGATTTCTCTCTCACCACTCTTATAAAATTTTAACTACAATGCTTTAAGCTCAATTAGTCCCTGAACTAAGTTACATGGTTCCAGCCTTTAGTTTTTAATAAGCATTTATCCCTGAGGTTACAAAGGTAACCTGATTCACTCAGAAGTCTGACGAGCAGTGTGTTTTACCTTCCTACAGTCTGCTAACGCACACCAGTGCCTCACATACTGAGGTTCTGTGGGAATGGAGAAAGAAGGAAATTTGGGACAACAGTGACAGGATTGACAGTAACAAGCAGCTGCAGGAAAAAACATTCTCCTTCCTATTGCTTTTATTCTTTCTGTTTTTGGAGCCCTCTGAGATAGGAGAAATAACTACATTTCCTTTGCTCGTGCTTTTTCCTTGTTGCGCGGCTTAATTTCCTTTTCCTATACAACAGCTTGCAGGATGGAGAAAGTGTTGTTACAGGGGATAAGGAGCCAGAGGTCTAAGGAAGTTGTGGATCCATTCATAACAGGCAGGAGACCAAGAATTACAAAGAAAATGCTTGTTAGGAATTAGACTTGCCATTATTTTTCTTCCAGTTATGAATGCTGATCATAAATGCAGAGGAAAGTGCTGCTTCCAGGACAGACAGAATAATCGATTTCTTTTTCATTTTGGGCTTTTTATTTGAAACTGATCTAAGGAGCAAAACAACAGCATTTATAAAAGGTACCAAGAATAACAAAGAATCTTCTGTTAATTTCGAGTCACATAACTTACATACAGAAGCTTTTTCATTTTGATAGCTTATAGTCATATTGATATTGATCAAAGGCACCTGCAACTGTCTTGGTTGCACATGCACTGCAGTAATTATGCATGCAAGTGAGCTATTAGACTTTTTTCTGGTTGAGGACCAGTATAATTACTCTAAGTGAATATACAATCATGGTAACTGTACACACAAATTATGCATGCATGCAGTTTTAAAAATGAATTGTTGCATTCATTGTCTCTATTTTCATAATATCCTATGGAAACACTCATCCACTGAAAACAATATTAAAAAGTATTAACTTTTTAAAAGATGAACATTTATTCAACTGTCTACTGAACATTAAAAAAATATAAGAATCCAGTAATTTTGCTTTCCAAGCTGATACATCAGCAAAATTTCACCACTGTCACAAGATTTACCAACATGAAAAGAAGAGCATATTTAAACATAGCTTCTGACTCCTCCTTTTTATATGTTTACTAACCAGTAAGTTCGTTAAGGTAATAAAGGATTGGTAATTATTTGAAAAAATAATGCATATGATCAAATCTTGAAAAAGAACCACCCTACATTGCTTTCTGCAATTCTATTAGAGATAACTTGAAATATTTAAGAAGTTGGGATTCTCACCATCCTTAAGTCTACATGATTTGATTATACTTCAGAAGAGTTGGTGCACTCAAACCCATACAAGGTGTTTTTATTAAGGTACGTAAACAACAACATGGAAAATAGGCTTTCATCTTTCAAGACCATATTAACATAGGGAACAGTTTCACTAGGGCAAAAGCATTTATTATTAAGTATTTCAAGGGATGTGACAGAAGTAATAAAATATTTAGATACTGCTGTATTCTGGCAGATCACGGCGTAGTCGTATTGCCTTTAGCTTTTCTACTTTGATTTTTGTTCGCAACAGTTCTTCTTCCAGCTGCTGCTTTCTTTTCAAACCATCTCTTTTTTCTTGGACATAAAGCCCAATTTTTCTTTGATTTTCTAGTATTATTTGATGTTCTTCTTTCAGCATTTGCAACATCTGTGGGTCATACCCACACATCGGTCTGAAGCGTTCTCCAACCTCAAGCCTAAAAAACTCATCTCTTCTTGGCACAGGAGAGGGAGACATCATAACCCTCATGTCAACTGAAGATACTGATGTTGAAGGAGACCTTTCCATAATGTGCACCAACTGGTGTTCTTCCTCTTGTTCTACGTTCTCACTTGGCTGCGAGTCTATAATCAAAGAAGGAGGAGGTTTGACATCCTCTTCTGATTGCAACTCCATCATGACTGTAGCAGGATGGTGATCCAACATTGCCTGTGGTGAACTGGTACCAGCAATTGTTTCTTTATCGATATTAGCGCTAGAACACACAAAATCATATTTAAATAATCCATTAAAAAGTATAAAACAGACAAACAAACATAGTTGTAAGTAACCAAAGCTTCACTTGAAATATTACTCTGCTCTACCCATGCCTGAACCTCTGCTTTGTTACATGACCACCATCTGCATCCCTCCTTCTTTCCACCACATACACACAGCCCTGTATGATTTAGATGGCATTGCTAATCTGAAGGCAGTGCAGCCTATAGTGAACAATCCTGGGAGGTTCTTATTTTGAAACAGGATAAGCAAGCATTAGTGATAAGTGAGAATAAAAACAAAGCGGCAGCAGAAAGTGATGCAAGTGACAGAGGAAACAGTTTGTGTAATCTAGAAAGTGATTTTAAAAGGCCATAAACTTGCAGAAACATTTCCATCTCCCAAACTTACTAATCTCCTTCTGTTCTAATGCATTCTCTGTTTCTGACTCATGCACCTAAATGTTTAAGCTTTTCTTTTTATTTGTTGTTTTTTTGGTAAAACAATCGCTGAATAAAATGACTCAAGAAGCCTGGGGAGAAAAAACCACAGCCCAGATGATGACCCTGTCAGTAGATCAAGGAGTCAGCTAATCCTTGTTCCTTCCCTTTGAACCAGTGATCTCACTGGTTTTCTGAAGTTTCAAGAGAGGGCATGGAAATGTTACCATTAAGAACAAGCCCATAGTTCCATGCAGCATTTTTCCAGCTTTTCTGAAGTTCAACACCCACTTGACTCATCTGCCTTTGTGTAAACTCCTGAGTCAGCAGCACCTCCAGTCAGGATTTGACATTACATTGGTTCTGATGATATTAATGGCTCAAGCTGCTCTTGTCTATTTCTCCACCATCAGTTGTGTCTGAAACCCTGTAATTCTGCACATCACTCCTTTATACAGGTAATACTTTTGTAAGCCCTGATCTGCTTTTTGAACTATTTGACAGTATAGATATACAAAGAATACCTTCAGCATGACTTGGGAGGCAGTACAGTGTCATATGGGAACAGTGAAGTGTTAACCTGGCACTGAGAGCAAAGATAGTGCGCCACCACAGCCATGACTGTTTAAAAAGGAGGCTATGGTTAGTGGCTGCAGATGGGAAACATTCCTCAGTCCTTGAAGAACTAAGCTGCTGCTAGCAGCTAAAGGCAGTGAGTGGATCCATGATTAATACAACATTCACAGATGTGCCCTAACCCTGGAGGACTTGAGTGCTGTCTATTAAAATGGAGGCAGGTGTGTGAGTATATATATATATATTTTTTAATTATTATTATTTTTTAAACTCCTTGTGAGCACTACAAGACACAGTCTGAGGAGCACTATCTGATTATTAAAAACACTGCCCTGGTTAGCAGCAGATTTGGGTTCAAATTCCCAGAAACACGGGAGAATTCTGATCTGTGTATCATACTTCTCAGGTAAGTGTGCTGACTCCTTGCAGAGACATCAAAAGAAAGCGTTACCCCCTTTGCATCTTGCTTTGGTCTTCAAAACTCTTGATTCAAAAGAAATAAGCAGCCACGGCTGCAACTTCCAAAGGATCCTAGCTAGTCTACCACCCACTAACACGAAACAGCAATTTCTAGAATAAAAGCATAAAAACTTCTAAATATTCAATTATAAAAATGTTCAACAGGGTCAGAGAAATGCGTTTTCCTAAAATCAATTCTGCCAACCACCCAAACCATTTAAATTAGGGCTTTCAAAGAGAAAAACGCTATCTGAAGCAGGAATTGAAAACAGAACCTTCATCTATCCCTGAAAAAAACAATCTTAATTCTGCTCCTGTCACCTGAGCTGCATATCAAGCATCGATTCTATCACCTAACACCCTCTTCCTCATGCCTCAAAGCTTCACCTGCTTCTCTACACCTTTCTCACACTGCATTCCCTCCTTTCCTGGAGCAATCAGAAGTACTTTCCTGCATACAAATTTTCACTATTTCTCCCCTTGCTGACTGTAGTTCTGGGTTTCCCCCTTCCCAACCACACAGCTTCAAACACAGCCTCCCTCTTATTTATTTGCTGGCTCCTGGCCAGCTGCTAGCCTGAGAAACCTGGAAACAACTAGTAGGAGAAGCAGATCATTCTGACAAAAGGGCACAGAGGGAGGGGGCAGAAGGAGAAAGTGTGAGAGGTTAAGAGAAGAAAGAGAGGTGAGGATTGGTCTAAGGTCGAGTAGGGCCTCTAGTGACAAACTGATCTCTCACAGCATATTCCACACAGAATTTGAAAATGACCGAGACTTCAGGTAACTCAGATGAAGCTGTTAGTTGGGTTTTGGTTTTTTTCCCCTTAAGAAGAAACCAATTAGTGAAGAGAGAAAGAAGGAACTGAGAAACAAAAGGAACGCCTGCATGGTGGTTACTAATGTTGTTTCTGACAACTTGACTGAAAGAAAGACAAACAACAGTTACCACAACTGGGGGATGGTATTTATAACCCCGGAGGCACCCATGATTCACTCAGTTTTGTTTAATCACAGTGAGCTAGAAATTGCTTAAAGGTGCAATTAAGAATTTGGATTCATTGTAAGTTGTATTCCCTTCCAAAAAGCTAAGCCATATCCTAGAGACTTAAAACCCAATATTGGGTTCTCAAAATCAGGATGAAATGCATCTTAGTTAAAATCAGAACTACAAAATAATGATGTATTTGGGCAGAAAAAAATATTTAGATGATATTCTTTCCCTTCCACAGGCAGTGCCTTGGCTGTCCCTAGGAACAGCTACTTGGGGTAAGCAGTAATCAAGTCAATGTTCCCAGAGCCATAAAGGACTGCAAAAAACGTTTACATTACAGGAGACAAACTATGGAGATCATTAGGTCTTAATCATTCATGAAAAGCGGCACTGCTTTTCATAAGCCGATCTGCAAACCAAAGTTCTCCCACTATTGTTTTTTTTCCTCTTTACAAAAGTTGGTAGTCGAGACACTGCAACCTTTATTAGCGCAATTAAAAGCCTTGTTTTGTTCCAGAGAATTCTTTGGAACTGTTCCTCCAGGGGCATTCAGCAGGAGCAGCAGTGCAGCCCAGTTGCTTCAGACTCCTTTACGCCAAGGACCCACAGCAGCATATTTTTAGAGCATCTGGCATGTTGGGATTTACACAATTGTTACCATTCAGTTCAACCAGTGGCACTGTGAATCAAATTCATCCTGTGTACACATGCCAGCTTTTCTTAGAGCATTTAGCTGTTGCACCAACTATCTGTATATCTGATTGAAATATGGAAAGTTCACTTCCCATTAATCTGTTTGTGAAAGGGAGAAAAAAAAAAAATCAGAGATTTCTCAAGATTTGTGGGTATTTATCTGGCTTTTATCCTCCTGCCAAGCTTACTTTGTGTATCAGGAGGAACCAAAACCTGACCCCGGCGTTTTTGGATCCCTCAAGGACCAATACAGAACCAGCAGAGTGCTGCAAGTCAGATACGAGAGGCATTCGCCAGCTGTGTAAGAAAGCCTGTGTGCTGCCTGCCTGTATTATGTCTGGCTTCAAATCTAGACAGTGTGCCTCACTTTACTGAGCAGTAAAAAAAAAAAGAAAGAAAAAGCTCTACAAAAAAAGAAAACTTCCATTGCTGTATCTCTCAGTTTCTCTTCATGTGCGTTTAAGCTGCCCAGCATACAGCACAGAACTGCTTGGAGTTTAGACTGCAATTAGCTCTGCTCCAGTTTCAGAGAATTACCATCAGTGCAAGAAAAGTAAAATCTTTAAAGAACGTCTGCACTCACAAAGTCACTGTGCTGTGAGGAGTAAAGGATTGGTATCAGGTAAAACAATATGCACATAAGAGCAAACAAGAGGCAAAACGAGCTCTCTGAGCAAGGTTTCCTAGCTCTGCAAAGTAACTTTATCAAAAATCTTACATAAACCGATAACAGTTGCATATGTTGCAAAATGACTGCAGTATTGCCTTAAATGGAGGAGAATAGCCATCACTTTGCCAGTGTTTGAATAATCTGCCTATTAAAAGGTAGGGGAGGGGTAGAGGTTGGAGCTACTATTTCTCTTTGATTCTCCCTTAACCCTCACTTTCCGGAGTATGACAAAGACTGAAACAGGCTTTGAAAGAGCTGAGAAATGAATGCAGTGCTAAGTCACCATAAAGCTGGCCATAAAACAAAAGCAATATGATTCTGTCATTGTTCCCAGCTTTGGGATTTTCCCTTGCAAACACTTCCTTTAGGACACCAAACACATGAGAAGCGTTACACGGCAGATAGGAGGCGCCATCATTTTCATTCAGTAACAAAATAAAAAGAATTCTCTCACCTTTGTGCACCGCTCCTGTCTCTTAAACACACATTGGAAATCTGTGGAATCATCTCCACAACTTTCTTGGTTGGCTCGGAAATGCTGCTTTTACAGTCTGAATGAGTCTCCTTTTGCTGCAATAGCTCCTGTTTGGCATATTCTTTGAGCCTCTTGTACAGCGTGCGCAGGCCCTGTGCGGTGCGAGGCGGGCGATCTACTCCGATGGCATTGTAGTTATCGGCTATGATATCCCAGCATTTGTTTTTTTCCACTATTACAGAATGCTTATTGGTGTGTTCTTCGAGAATTTTAACGTAAGGCTTCACGAGTTTTAGCAAATCGAGCTTTTCAGATAAGGTGAAATTAGAAGATCTGGCCTTCCCAACCATTGTTAGCTTTGAATTAAGGAAGCAGCTCCCGAAGCCACCATGCAGTCCCTAGCTCTGCTCAGCTCTTTTTCACAAACAGAAAAAGATCAGGCTTAACTAGGCTAGTCTCATTTAGGCCCACGCCTACAAGGGAGGGTTTATTAAAATTCCTTCAGCTTAAGCTGACGCAGGTTCAGGAAATCTGCTTAAGCCAAGCCTGACCTACATAAGGCTTCAGACTGAAGAAGACGAGAAGAAACAAGCAAAATACACTTTTGTATGAAGAGACCAGACGTACACAGGATTTAAAAACATAAAGGTTTAAAGATTAGCACATTACCCAGCTAAAAATTACCTAATTTAGCTTGAGTAACGAGCTCTGACACATAGCTCCGGCTCTCTCACACGTATCTCAAACTGAAACCGCACTCGAGATTTTACACGCCACGACGTCCCCAAAAAGCAACAATTGTTTTGTGCCGTTTATTGACTGTTAAACCGGGCAGGAGGAGCAGCGAGCGCAGCACGTACAGCGCACTGAGCGCCGCGTGTGTAGAGAGATCCCTAACAGAGCCCCCAGCACCGCTCCCCGGCTGCCGCCGCTCTCGCAGCATTTGCATAATGCTGGTCCTGCTGTCAATCAGCAGTTGCATATCCCCTAGCTAGTTAGGTTACACTCGGGCTTCGCAGCAAAGCTAAGCTTCCCCTGCATTCTGCAGGCTGCTCCTGCTACCTACACGGAGGCTTCTTAAAGAGGCAGTTTCTATTCCTGGCCGAACGCTTAACGACAGCGAAAAACACCAAAATCCCAGCGAGAAAACACCAAACACTGCAGCGTGAGCCCTGAATCAGCTTTTTATTAGAACTTCAGCCTGCAGCTGTGCCCTGCTAAAACATGCCTGCCTTGTAACGCATGTGTCATCGCCATTCAGGCCGCGGCGGCTGCGAAATGGCATGAGCTAACTCTTGGGCTACATGCAATAAAGGTTACATTCAATCACGACAGATTTACTGAGTGCACTGCGGCGCATGGATACCGGGACCAAGAAACAGTCTGCTTTTATGATAATACTTCTAGGCATTCTCTCAGGATAAAAATCTGATTCTTATTAATGAGGTGCGTGTGCATTTCTCATGTTTGCTCTGAATTCTATCACCTTAAGCCAAGCCTTAGCACAAAAACACACACCGGGCTTTCCACTTCTGTGGTCAAAACTAAATTAACACATCAGAGAAAAAGGAAAAAAAAAACCAAACCCACACGTAAAAGGAAAGGTGCTCATGAAACCCAAAACCAAGTCTGAAAAATGACATACGTCATTGAGAGAGTCCAGAGGGTGGAAACAAACACAATCTGAGATAGCGGCAACAGCCTCTCGAGCTTAACATGTTCAGCCTTGAAAACAAGGGAGCCTGGAAGGGGGGTGAGGGCAAGAGGAACCTAATTATAGTCTAAAATATCTGAAGGCAATAAAGATCTGGGTATAAACTTGCTTGCTCTAAGGGGGAGAAAAGCCAAAGCAGAGGCAAGACTTTAGCTGCTAAAGATCAGCCAGCAGGTAGAACAAGAAGCGTGTTTGGAACAAATGCTGACACCTCACCCATAGCACCTCATGTTTGCGACCAGCCTGCTTTGCTGGCACTGCTTTCAAGCCAACATCAAATCAAGCATTTTATAGTCTGAAGCCCATTTCAGCAGACTTTGAGAAACAAAATACTTGTGTGGTTAGAAGCACTGTTATGAAAACCAGTACTTTTAAACTCCTAATCCTTCCTTATTTCCCCACACTTTACTCTTTACTACAGTGAAGAGCTGGATGCTGGTGGGTATTTTATTTTTTATTGCATTTGGTTGCTCTTTTGTAAGTACAAGAAATAAAAACCAAAATGGATTATGCCTTAGGAACTTCAGGCTGCTGGCAGTGTTGGAATCCAGGAGTCACAAGAGAGCCCACACTGTGCCCTCATATGTTGGAGCAGCTGCGCACTGCCCAATCTCATGACTTTTTAGTGACAAAAGAAAACAGTTAGGTTGTGTGATTAAAGGCTCCTCCACACAAACACAGAGCAGCACAGATAACCAGCACTGGACAGAGAGACGCCAGTAACCAGAGCAAAAAGAGCAGAGCTCTTGGTCTGGCTGTTGCCATCTCTGCCACAGAAGCACAACTGCACAAGGGCTCAGGAGCGGGGCCATGACAGAGAGCTAATAGGAGAAGCTCTCTAGATCACCTTGCATACATGGGAGGGGGGGGTTGTGACAGCCCACTGGGACATGGGACTCATTATGAGCTGACAGAAAGAGTATTTTAGGATTGCTTTAGGAAGGCTTAGTACAGTAAAGGAAGAACCAAGAGCAAGAAAAGTGAGGGATGAAAGTGTTTGGGGAAGGAAGAAGCACAAGCAAATACTGGGGAAATGGGATAAGAGGGGCCCAGATGCACATCAGCAGGAGTGGCTCAGTACTGTAGTCCAGCCATTGCCTTGGGCCTGGTCACTGCTGTTTGTCCTCACTTCTTATTAAACTGCATTTGTAACTACTCTCCTGGGTGAGAGGACTCCTTACTCTTTGTGTTCAAGTGTGCATGGAAGTGCATCCAGGGACTGGAACTGGACCACAGGTTACACACAGGGACCCAGGTGTACAGGGTGCCAGCAAGCAGAGGTCAGAACCCATGCACATTTGCCTTGGTACACGTCTGTGCACAATCCCTGACAAGCATTGAGCCAGAGTAGCCAGCAAATAGGGTAAGAATCTTGCAAGCCACAAACAGGAGTAGGTTTGAGTCTGGCCAGAAGCTGGAGAGACCAGAGAGGCTGTGGGCTGGCTACTGGAAAGGTCATAAATCAGAGCAGCTGCCAGAGACCACTTCGTTTGTGTCTGTGGGGGTGAGGCAGCTGGGAAACCAGGCATGCAGAAGAGTAAGCATCTAGAACTTGTCATAGGAGGGATCCATCCTTTCATCATGGTCAGCCACAGAAGGGAAAAGATGAGGCCTTTGATGCTGCTGCTGTCTGTCTAAGGGCTATGTTTTCTGTGCAGCTGGCCATGTATGTAATGTAGTGCACGCACGTGTCTGTGTGCCTCCTGGGAACAACTACATACCCCCTCACTGTGGGCTGGAGCCAGCCCTAAGATGCTGCAGCAGCCCCTCTTGTGCTCGGCTGCCAGGTGTGGCAACTCCAAGCACAGAACCCTCAAACTTGGTTATTACCACCTGACAGCTTAACACTCACCAACCTTCCACGCTAATACCATTACCGCAAAACACCACCACAATGCTTTCTTTCGAGCAAGTGCCTGAAGGAATCAGTCTGAATTACTTACTGTTCTGCAGGAGTGTAAAATAACCCTTGTAAAAATGAAGCTGGCTGCCAAACAAGATTTTTTTCCTGTTTCTTTTTTATTGGGGGGGGGGGTTATTTCAGTGGCTTTTGTTTGCTGTTGTTTTTGGTAGTTCTGCTCATCAGCCTAAGGTCACATGGGTATTTGGGTGAGAAATCACAAATCACAGGTGAGAGGGCTGCATATTAACATGACATTCAGACTTCTCCAAAAGGTGTAGTTTCAAGGTGATTACAAACAAAAAGCAAAGTTGCCACAGTCCACCCTTCATCCTATACCATCTACCAACTTATTGCACAACGGAGTGCACACAGCCAATTAGGGAGATGATCCAGCTAAAGACTAAGCATTTTATTTTATTTTTCTGCCAGGCATGCAGCTTAATATTTTGCTTAACTTAAATGTGGGACATTGCCAAAAGTGGAATTTCCTTCTTTCAGCCCTGTTGTGTTTCTGCCCCTTCCCTGTGCCGGTACAAGCGCTCACAAAGTACTGACTTTTATTTGTTTGATTCTTCTAAACAAACCATATTCTTCCCAATTTTAATGTTAGAATTCTTGGTTTTGAAGTAGATGCAATGTTCATATTTGGAAATTCATGAAAAATGGGAGCTGCGAGATTAGATTATTCAAGAACTGAGCAACAGCCCATTGCTAATGTGCTTAAAGTTGTTGGGAAATACTAAAAACTACAGGTAGCATAAATTCAGGGGTTTGCAGCAGAGAAGTCTAGAATAAATACAAAAAAAAAAAAAAAAAAGACACAAATAGTGCTTTCTGGAGAGCTATCAAGAGGTGAATGAATCACAGATAGAAGTAGTTAGGGATTAAAGTAGCCAAACTACTACGATATGAATTGTTGAAAAAGTTCAATGGATCCAGATTTTAGAAGCCAAGTGACAGATGTGGATCACGACCAACAATTGCATCAAGTGGCCCATTTCACTTTAAACATGTAAGAGACAGAAAATCTTATAAAGGATAACTTCTTAAACGAGAGAGAAAAGAGAGGGAAAGGATCCTTTGCCAAACAGAACTGAGGGAGAATACGTCCATTATATTTTCAGGCTTTCTGATCTCTATAAAGTACACAATTAAAAGACAAAAAAAAAAAAAAAAAAAAAATTACATGATTAAGGAGGAGACCCCAAAAAGAACATCATGAAAAATGAAGTTTAGAGCAAACTTGAATGCAGTGAATTACACTGGATTAAGACATTCAGGCAGGGACCTCTTAGTGCAAGACATATCAGGTCAACAGATAAATGACTACTGAATTCTGTAAGGGTGCTCTGCTCACAGAGAGGTAGCCCCAAAGTAGGTCTAAAAGATGCCTATTTTTCTTTTGTTTAACACTGTATAGTCTTTTTGTGTTAAACAAAACAAAAGGGGGCAAACTAGCTCTGGAAAGACTGGGTTTGGCATTTGTAGTTACCCAGAAACCCAAGAATCTTAAGAGAACGATTGCAAGATTTGATCCGAAGCTGAAGTGAAACTCTGATACCCCTGTGCTTATTAGAAACTGTAAGAGGATTCGGCAGCTAAGACGGGTTGTGTTACACATCACTGAATATACTGGGGTATACTGGCAGCAAAAATATTTGGCAAGCGTCGAGGCAGTTGCTCACTTGTGCAAATGAACTTGGCAGCTGCATAAGATGACTTGAGAGCGTCTGTGGGTATTAAGGGCTGCAAAAGTTCCATTAGGTCATCCTACAGTCTTCTTTACTGACATGACAGCAAGATTGTGCCAAGTCATTCCATTGGTCTTAAGAGTGTGCTGCAGCAAAGGGTGGGTGAGAAAGTTTTCAGCTCCAAAGGTCTCCCATTGTGACAGCTGTTTGGTGGATAAGCTCCAAAATTAAGACTTGCAGGCATTATTCATTATGGAGAGTTAAGAATGACAAAGTTTTGGGAGCTAAAAAATGCAAGACGACTTCTCCTGGAAGTTACTCTGCTTAAACAGACTATCTCCAGAGTTTCTTGAATTATTTTTACAACATTCAAATTTCGTTTCAGATAGTTTTCTAATTTCAAGCAATTTTATTATTGTCTTCATCAATTTTCACAACATTTTCACCATCAATTTTGCCCTTCCTTGTTCCTACCTTGGCTATACCAGAAGTCCCAGGATCACCCCTTTTCCTTCTCCTTGCGATAATATTTCTAAATATCTCTAAACCTCTGCCCTCCATTTGGGAGATGCACGGCAAGATTGGAAGGGAAGAACAAAGGGAAGCTTTAAGTCTTTTTTCTGCATCTATTCTTGTCATCACCATCTACCACATATCAACTCCTAGCATCTAGCAGTTCTTGCAGCTCCCAGGTACATGCATCACAGAACAAGTCCTGAAAACCCAGAAGTTGATGAAGTAGTTATTACCTTTAGATTGCTCTCTTGAATTATGTATGGGCTACTCCAGAACTTTTACATCATGTAAAATTCCAAGTGTAAAAGCTAACTGTACTTCCATTCCCTCTGCTGATGCTAGGTGTTGCCCCATGAAATGGGAAATACTCAGATGAGACAATTACACCAGCCTTCTCCAAGCCAAATTTTAAAGAATTCACCTCAGTCTGCCATTCCAGTCCACGCATTCAGATCTGTAACCATCCTTCAAAGGAAGTTTAACTTAAAGTTACAGGACTATATATTACAATGAAGTGACTATGTAGCTACGATATAGCACCGTAAATAAACTCTTCACTTTACAAGAAAAAGGAACAGCATCATTCTTTACAAATTCAGAAATGCCTCCAGTTGTTAATACACACTTGCATTTTCTCTTTTTCATGACTGACCAGAAACAAGCAGCAAAGAAATACAGAAAGGTTTAGAAGTATGATTTCTTTTTAGGACATTTTGCTTAAGTTCTTAAAATCCCATTTGCAAGATAGACTCTACAGAAGCCAAATTTCTGTAATTCTTCCATCTTTTGAAGATTATTCTTTTAAATACTAATCTCAGAATACTTCTCTACTCACTATTCCTAGCATTCAACATAGAGCAGCTTTCTCTATTCTTCTGATTTGCTCAAAGTGGCAGTTTTGAGGACCTAGAGATAATTGTCTAACCACTATCATGTTGATTTTAGGAAAGTCTTATTGTGATAAGGTTTCTATTTCAGGGGGAGACTTAAAGTCCAAAGCCAAAAGCTGGGATCGAACTCTGCTGGCATAGCAACAAAGGGCATCCAAACAATGAGCACAGCTACAGAAGGATATGAAGGAACCCAGGCAAAGTCTGTAATAATACTCATTATAGCTCAAAAACACCTTCCATTTCACTTGAATAAGGCATTTGTCCTTTCATCTGATACCTACACTCTCTCCCATCTTCCCTTAAATCCAAATTTGTATCTTATCTAACGGGGACAGGAGGGTGCTGGGGAGAAAAAAACTTTCTGAAAGGTGAGAGTAGAAATGAAAAAGATCTAAGAAATTTAGGATAGCCATGAATTTCTTCTTTTGCCTATCTTCACTCCTTACACACAAAAAGGCTTGATAGTAAATTTTGATAAACAAGAAGTTAAGAAGAAACCACATGGACAGCTTTCCTCAGAATGAATAGAGAAAATGATAGAATCTTTACTGCTAAATCCATCTGTTAAAAATAGTCTCTGGGCAGAGTACTCTTAAGTTCCTTCTTTCAAAAGTTAGAGTACTGGATCAATGTTTTTTCTACATATTCCATATATTTGCATGCAATTCCCATGGAGCCAAATAATAATAAATACATTGGCATAGTAAGTTCATTTTCAAGGCCCATTCCCACCCTGGAAAAGTGAGTTTCCTTTATCTCTGCTGTTTTAACATGAGATCTCTGTGTCTATATAAAAAAAAAAGAGAACTTAGGTCTTTTTTTTCCCTTGTTTACAATTTTTTAATTTTCAGTAACTTAAAACATTGGAAAAAAAAGGGGAAAATGAATAAAAGATGGTTGGATGGTTATCTACATGTAGCACAGCTCTTTTCAATAGCGTACCTATCACTATTCAAAAACAAAGAAACTAGCAATTTTTGTCTCAGAAAAGCTAATGCTGTTCAGTTTAATAGGCAAGTTGTTACTGAAGTGCTTTCACGTTAATCCTTCCAACTGCTTGAAAATTCTCTGATATCATCTACCTAATAAAACCCTGATAGTCTTTATTTTCTGACCATCTAATACCCTTCTAATTTCTAGTTTCCTTCCTCTCTCCTCCATTATCTCCACTGATTCAAACGCATACATTAGAGCACATGTAACTAGGACACAAGAAAAGTATATTTCACTGTCAATTTGCTGCCCTTTTCACAAATGTGTGAATATCCTGGTTATGTCATCTGTCATTACATAAAGTCTAGCTATTCACATGACAGCTAGATACGATCATATCAAGTTATAAATTATGTCATACTAACTGTGGAAAGATCACAAGAGAATTGCGCAAGTCTGGATTTGTTTGACAGCAGCCCATTATACTGCATTGCACATGGCTGCCCCATCCAGGAAAGCAGCTTTGCACTTGCTGAATGTTATATGATACGTTGCTTTTGGAGGTGGAACTGGCGTAGTTTCCTTCCATCCATCTCACACATAGAGGTTTACCTCTGCAACCACAGCACATCTTACTGCTCGACTGCTGGACAGTCCAAACTCAAGATAAGTGACACTGGTTAGGGAGGAGAACTTCTTCAACAGGCTGGTATATCACATCAGCACACCATACTGCTTTCCTTGTGTTCAGTCTGTAGTAGTGCGTCATAAGTTATTTGATTACAGCTACAGTTCAGTAATGCCTTTTTGCCTGAAGACTTTAAAACTGAAGAAGTGAGGGAAGTCGTGGCTGCTGCATTTGGTGCTTCTCAGCACAGAAACAGAAGCCCTTAAATACAGGGTTCTGTTCTGGCCACTACCATAAAGCAGGTGAGGAATGTAGAATAGCAAGGGGGAAGGGATACACTGAAGAGTTATGAAAACAAGCAAGGGCTGCACCAGTTTTATTCAGAGCTGTTTGCAGTAACTAAATGGGCATAGAACCTACTTTGTAGCTTGTG